CCCTGCTGGCTATTTGTGCTATTTGAGCAGTTTGACCCTTTAGGCTGCTTGGAAATTATTCCTTTCCTCTCCAGAAAACCCTTTGAGAAATGGGGTCCCAATATCTAACTGTTTTGAGGTCACTTCTGCAGTAGGAACCCCAGCTGAGTTTGTGTGTCAGAAGCAGGGAGCTTCCTTATGCAAATTACTAGTGAATTGGACAGACCAGGCCAGAGACAATCATGCTTCAACTAAACGTATGTCTCATCGGCCGTCATGAAGAACTTTGAAATCCTCAAACTTGCTTTTCTTGAAATCAAGTCAGACAAATACATAAAATCTCCAAGTCTGCATGGAACGCCGACTTCCCTCATTATTACGTACCTTTGAATTATGCCTGGGAGCCTTACATCTTGTGTTGTAAACCACGGTCATACGATTAACTGAGGCAAACAGGGACTAAGGAAAGAAAACTGGGCCTCTGAAGCCTCGGGTTCCCCTTCCCTGGCTTGTGTGTCTCAGGGTCCCCTCCAGCACCAATTCCTCCCTCCCCTCTTACTCCTGAACCTCCGCTGTACCCTCAGGTCTTCCACAATCAGTCTTTCCGCAAACTTCCCACTTCCTCTGAAATTCTCCCCACGCACTTTTCCTCCAACTTGTCAGGTCTTGTTACCTTAAACTTCATCCTTATGAGGACCCAGAGGGCCACCTGCTCATTTCTTATATTCCTGGACTAAAGCTGAACTGTAGTCAACGCTTGTCCGAACCAGCCAACGTTCCTCACTAAGGAATTTAATGGGGCCCCCAGACTCTTCACCCCGGCTTCTCTGACTTACATCGTCCAGTTTCTGCAGTTGTTGTTGAAGGTCAGGCCTGGCTTGCGTGTAAACCGCTGACTGGGAGAATCCTGAAAGGTGTTTAGAACTGCGACCAGGAGAAGCGTCCACTCACTTATTATATAAAAACATCAAGCCGTAACTTGGCAAACTCACTGGGCAGTTCCTGAGAATCTTCCAACACTGTTGTTTGGAATAGAAATCCAGCTTTCCCATGAAAGTCGGGTGAGTCTGGTCATGTTTATCACAATCCACTTCAGGTAATTTTAAAAGACAATCGTAGTATTGCTTTGTATGTTTATTCAACCCAGCCAACACTGTACTGTGTGTTTATTAATAGTTTGACTCAGGACATTTCCATTCTATTCACAGAGGAACAGGGTGGAATGGGAAACCAGGTCCTCCCCAGATTTCCTTAAGCTGACAGACCTTGCACTACAGGAGAGTCACCTGAGGGAGGACAGTTGAAGTTCTTAAACTTGAGTTCCGGCAAATAAAACCCCTGCATAAAACCCAGACCCTCCTAGTTTCTGCCTTTGTTTTGATAGATCCAGGGCATTGGGAAAGAGCCTGTTACAAATGCCTGCTCTTCAGGAGCCGTCAGCCCTCTGAGCAGCCCCCCGACGTCCTCCTGGTTCCCAGTGGCTCTGAGGGAACACGCGGAGTCTCCCCAGCCCCTTCTCTCAGCAAAGGTCTCTCCAGATCGGAGGCAAGTCTCCTCCAGTCCTAAGGGTCACAG